TTTTTTTTTTTTTTGAAGAGTCAAGGCAGGTTCCATTGTATTTGATACCTGCTTTATTCTGAGGTATAGTTTGAACACAAATTATTTTTTGATTAATCCTGGAGAACTTTATTTTGCTAAAACAGGTGAATTAATTCAAACAGAATATTGTGTTAGATGCCTTTGGGAAGTTTTTAGATGTTGATTTAAAAAATTTTTGGAATCCTTTTCCCTCACTGTGCTAGAAAGAAGAAATACCAGCCAATTACCTTGTGCCAAATGATACTTTTCTTTTAATTTTTAGGTTACGCTTTTTTCAGTGGTAACACTATGCCCATCTCTTCTACTGGCCACATGTTGCATGTTAGCCTCTGGTACCATTTCTGTTCAGTGCTTGTGGAAAAGAAGCCTTTATCAAAATAAGAGTACACTAGATGTGGTTTATGGAGAGCATCACATGTTGAAGTGCATGATGGGACATTTTAGAAAGGCGAGCTATGTTAACCTGTTTTTAGAGGGATGGTAGAAGTTGAGGTCAAAACAGAAGGAACTGTTAAGTTCCCTGAGAAGTTCTCAAAGGTATTATAAAGCCTGAGAAATGAATGATTAACAATTAGGTGATTAGCCATATATTTTTTCCTCTCCCCAAAGTATTCTACTGACTCCTACTTCTCAATTTTTCCTCCAGATTGACCCCAAAGTTGCATTTCCTCGTAGAGCGCAACCCAAGGTAAGTGGGCTAACCAACAAGACAGGACTTTAGCTCTCAGAAATCATTGAAAATTTCAGATTTCCAAAAGAGTTTTGGCCATGGACTGTTGGAGCGTGGTATTCACTGTGCTTTTAGGTGCTGGCTCTGGACAGGAAGAATCCAGGCAAGCAGCTTGGTGAGCTGACTGTGCCTCAAGGTTGGCTGGCACAGGTGGGTTCAGAGCATTCAACCTGGGAGAAGGACAAGTCTGATCCTTAGTGGGAGGACATGGCTCCGTCTGTCGCAATATTTATGCAAGCCTCCCATGTAGTCTTTTAAGCACTGCTGAGATCGTATCAGGAAGAGTTCAGCATTTCCTTGTGACTCTTTGGAGCGTATGTTCTTGTGGCCTTGCAAGTGTGGAGGTTTTGGAGAGGAGTAGAATTTGAGTAAAAGGTTATCTTGGGAAAAACACCTTTCTAGAGCCCTAAAGCTATAAGCCTAAGAGAGTAAGCTGGGGATGTCTTGGTTTCAGGTTGGTGGGATAAATCAGGGCACACATAGCCAACGCTGCTTCTGTGGCCCAGTGTTGGTGCCTGAGTGCAGAGGTCGTATGTGACCTGCTGCAGCGACCCTGCAGGATTCCCTCAAGAGGCCGGGGCAGCCTCGCAGCGTCTTAGAAGCGTGTAGCTGACATCACTTTCTCAGGGCCTGCCAGGTGTGGCAGTGACAGCACAGCTGCGTGAATCTGCAGTTATGTCGGAAGGGCATATGGCGGGGAGCTCGGTGTGCACTTTGTAGAATGCTTTTTTTCTCCTGTGAATAACGTCAGAAGGAGTACTTTTCTGCATCCAGTGGCCTTGACACTATTGGGAAAGGGGAAAGTTGAAGCTTCTGATTGCAGGGCATGGAACGAAAGGGCTGTGGCTTTAGCAAATTCAGTTTCTTGCAGCAGAAGAGAGTGGAACCTTCCAGTTGCGTTAAGGGCAATGGTTATTTGCACGTTCGCAAATAAAAGTTGGCTGTTGGGGATGATATTTGGAGAATTCCAGGTCTAGGACCTGCCTTGTGATTGAGTGATTCTTTCTCTTCTTTTTTTAAAGATGAAACCACAATTCTTTAGGTAAATACAATGACATATTTTCTTAGGCATGTTTCCCCCTTACACTTAAGCAGATGATAGGAATTAATATACTAAACAGGTTAGATCACTTCAGCTTTGGGGCTGGCTTCACTGCTTTGGTGGCTTTCCGATCTGTGTGGGGGCCTTCACACTGCAGAACAGCTTTCCAGAATTAGCAGTACTTCCTAGGTCTCGAGGAATTGTTGTTTCTTCCCTGGGTGTGAATCTTCAAATTTCCAGATTAGTCACTTGACTACTCAGAAATTAGATCAGATCACCCTAGACTAGAAGGAACCTGGGGGAAAAGTCCTTGTCTTGGTTACACTGTGGGTTTGGCCTTTCCCCCTCCCCTTTGTGTCTACTCCCCGACCCAAAACTTTTTTCTTGTTTTAAGCAAGAAAGGAAGGCAACATTTTACTTTAATGTACTCCATCACTTGTTTCTCAGTGTTACTTGCCACTTGAAAACGTGATAGGCTGTTTGTCCAGCTTGGTAAAGTGTATATCCCCGGACCCCTCAATCCGGGATGTTTTGCAGCTGGTTTTAGATATTTTAGATGCTAACATCGAACCAGTTGGGGGAGTATGTTTCCTTGGAATTCTAAGGATTTAATAACAACACCCTAGTTTTTTATGGCCGAGGTCTCTCTACAGAGGACTTTGCCCTTTGCTGCCTCCACATGAATCCCAGCACTGTCTGTTTTCTCGGCTGTTCAGCAGGAGTGCTAGCAGCAGCTTCCTCCGAGGGCTTTGGGCTTGGGCCACGTGAGAGCCTCCCGGCTTCTCACCATCCCCATCATTATTGGTGGTTTTTAGGATGTGTCATTTGCAACCTTGACAGCCAGGCCATCAGACGCTGGCTGCACCACTCATTAGCTGTGCAAATTTGGAAAAAAAATTAGCTTTTCCGAACCTCATTTCCTCCCTCTTTTTTAGTTTTTTTTTTTCCCCCTGCAGATTAAATAAAAGTAATGTGCTTTGAAAAATCGCCCACAGCATGGTAATACCACAGAAGTGTTAACCACTATTTTTTGCTATTATTTTTCATTAGGTCCTCACACCAATTTTGTGAGAGATGGAGTGAGAATACACATCTATATCCCCAGCACTTTGAGAGGCTGAGGCAGGAGGATTACTGAGTTCAAGTCTCACCTGGGCAACTTAGTGCAAGACCCTGTCTCAAAATAAAGACTAATAGAAGGGGCTGGAGACGTAGCTCAGTGGTAGAGTACTGCTGGGTCTAATTGTCATAGCCGCCATCTTCCACAGAATGATATGAATTCACAGGGTGTGCTAGGCACTCTCGTGGACTCTTTCTGTGTACTGACCCATTGAGTCTTCACTGGGGCCCTATGAGGTGGTACTAGTACTGTTTTCACTATGTAGATGAGGAAACTGAGGTACCCACAGTGTGTTGAGGACTGGTACAAGAGATTGGCTCCAGATCTGGACCTGTATTGAGGGTCTGGTCCTGCAGGGGTGCTCCTGGGTGGCACCCCTCTGTTATGGAGTAAGAGATGGGCTCCCCGAGGTCAGCAAGCTGTGGTGACCAGATGCCAGCCAGGGCTCCGGGCTGAAGTTGAGTTCTTGGGCCAGGGTGAGTGTCTTCTGGCTGTGCTGTGCTGTTGCCGGCTGTGTGACACTGTCTGGGCCACCTCTCCATCTGACTCCTTGGGGCACCCCCTTAGATGGCTCTGAGGTTGTTCTGCCCCAGCGAGGCAACCTGTGACTCGTCTAGGTGTGGACGCCACAGCCGAGCTGGCACGAGTGTGGCGCTTTCAGGGAAATCTTATTCATTGGTTGTTTATCTCCCATCCGTAAGACTTCTACACGTCTGTGTTAGGGTCACAGCAGCAGGCGAAGGGATGAACTGCTCTGTCCTCTCCCGGCTGGGTGAGGATCTTGTAAATGATATGTCAGCTTGTGTCTCAGTTAAAATTCATTTCTTTGCTTTCTGGCTCTCTCTCTCCTTGCTAACACTCGCCAGAGAAATTTTCCGTGGAGGTGTTAAAACAAGACGAATGGAAAGAAACTGTAACTCAAGATGCAAGACAATCTGTGGCAGTGAAGAACAGGTTTCATATTAGTCCTGTCACAATATTCTTTAATGTATCGTGTAAATAAAAATCTGTTCTGACTACAATTTTAATGAGTGACCCAGGAAAGAGTTGGGAATGCTACAGTTCATCTGTACCCCTTTGCAATGTAAATGAGCATATCTCAAAGTATCATGAGTCCTTATTAGCTCGCCAAGGGCCAGCTCTTTGGAGGCAAGTGACTGTTCATTAGCAAGGTCCATTCTGACCAAGGAAAGAAGACGGGTCCATCCCAGCTCTCCCCATTTCTCTGGATGATGATTGCATTTTGTGAAATATGTAGGAGCGCCCGTTCCCATCTTTTAAAAAATTAAAACAGCCGTGTTCCTCTGAAAGATGGCTTAATTTGAAGCCGTTGGGGAGATGAAGATGATGGGGATCAGTCATGCCACTTTCTGTCTCTGTGCCCTCTGGGCCGAGTGGCGTTGCCTAGAAGACTTTTGACTGAGCTTGTGGCTTTTCTCTGGTGTGTGGAGGTAGGAGAGAGGCCTTAGCGTCTTTGGGCGAGAGGGGAGGCTGGGCTAACTAACTGCCCCCCTGCCCTAACTCTCCTGGTATGTAACAGCACATTCTCTTCCCATTGCCATTTCCCTCTGTAAGTTTTATTTTTAATTTTTGGGTTTATTTTGAATGGGTAAATGAGGACAGTGCTGTACGTATGAATGGTGTACCATTTGCATTTGAGCCCATGTGTATGGGTTAAATCTTGTGCATACACCATCTGAAACTTTCTTAAGTTTTAGAAGCCAGAACTGTAGGTGTTTATCCAGCAATATCACTTACTCAGTTACCTTTTTTCTTTTTCTTTTTTTTTTTTAGTATTTTAGGGAAGGGTCTACAGGGTGTTCAGGGTCTCACTACTAGATCAGACTCCTAGTGATCTGCCTGTTTACAGCCTCCTAAGAGCTGGGATTATAGGTGTGCACTACCATGCCAAGTCTCAATTGCCATCTCAGTGTGCCCCAGGGGTGGGGTTGGCACAGCAGGCCCAGGGATCGAATCAAATCCCTGGCCCCTGCGCCTGTAATCCGCTGAGCTATTTGGTCA